GCTGTGGTGTCATCACAATTCATAGCACCCTCAAACTCCTGGGTTCAAGCGATCCTCCTGCCTCAGCCTCCCAAGTATCTGGGACTATAGGCACCTACAATAATGCCCAGCTGGTTTTTCTATTTTTAGTAGAGACAGTCTCTTGCTCTTGCTCAGGCTGGTCTTGAACTCCTGAGTTTGAGCAATCTACCCGCCTCGGCCTCCCTGAGTGCTGGGATTCCAGGCAGAGCCACCACATCCAGCCTCCTTTTTTTTTGTCTTTCCCCTCCTCTCTTCCTTCCTTCCTGTCTGCCTCTCTCTTTCTTTTTCTGGTCAGGTGCTCACTGTATAAACTTAACACATTGGTTTCAGCTTTGCATTTATAGGAGACAATTTAGGAAAATAAAGACCAAAAAAGTGGGACTCTTGTCAGTAAAGAACAGTTCCTTAACCAGCTTTCTGCAGACTTCCCTACAGTGCCCTTGAAAACCAACTCTAACCATTACTTTTCTACCACTTTCTCCTACCCCCATGCCCAGCCCCTCCACACCTTCCCCACTCACAGCTGGCATCGCTGTAGTGAATCACATCTGCTGGATCTAGCCACACCATGCCAGCTTGTTCCCTATGGTCCCAGCCACCCCGCCTATCTCACAGAATGAATACCTGCTTCAGTACTGAAGAGGTTTCCTGAGGCCACTCGCAGGAAACATCCTACAATGAACAATAGACAGAGGGATTCTATTATTCTGTCCGGCTGTTCGGCTGCCCTGTGATTTGGAATAATTTACTTAACTATAAAAGAGATGACAGTAATCTTTGGGTGCTTCCTAGGGATTGCCTGAGAATTGAAGGGACAGTCATGCAAGTGTCACATTACAGTATGACGTGTACTCTGGCAGGAAGGGTAATGTACATAACACAGAGGTCGTCACCCGGCTGGCTGGCTGGCAGAAGCTCACCCAGGAAGACATCCCTCTAAGCCTACTTACTGCATGAGGCACACACAGTCCAACTTGCTTGTTTTTCTAGCTAAGGTGCCCAAGACATAATGCGACTTGTGGAGGGCGCAGTGGCTGCCAGGTGCAGTCAGGGGCAGAACCAGTGGCTGCAGGTTCTTCCCACTGCCCACACCTAAGCTTCTGACTAAATCATGTAACAAAGGACATTGTCAATACTTTGCCTTACTCAGTTTCTGGCACCTGAACTCCCCGCACATGCCAGCGGCCCTGCTTGGGGGGGGGGGCTCAGTCTCCATTAAGCATCTACAGGGGCTGGGGATCGGAGGTCGGGGGATCAGGAACCATAATTAAGATAAAGTCTATCTCTCTGCTAGAACCCAACGAAACTAGATCATTGTATTACTCCTCCTAAGACAAATCTTTACAATGTGAACTCATTATTTTGTTCAAAATGGATTTTCAGGACATTATGCCCACTGGTATTCCAAAGAAGCTAAATAACACATTGCAACATCAAATGTTTATCTTTTGGATTATTTATTCCTCCTTTTTTTCTTATTTTTTCAAGACAGAGCCTTACTTTCTTGCTCAGACTAGAGTACATGGCAGTGACTTTAAACTTGTGGGCTCAAGTGATCCTCCTATCTCAGCCTCAGAGTAGCTGGGACTATAGGCACCTGTCACAAAGGGGTCTTGCTCTTGCTCAGGCTGTTCTCAGCCTCCTAAGGTCAAGGGGTCCACGGGCCTCAGCCTCCCAGAGTGCTGCCACCAGGCCTGGCTATTGCTTCTTGTTGGCTCTCCCAGTGTCTTCTTGCTGTGTGTAAAATCAAAACTGGACGATGCAGCCAAACTTAGGGTTGTTTCCTTTGTAGTGATACATGGGTCACTACAAAAACTTCGTGTTACAGTCCATTATTTCACTTCCAAGACACACAGTTGGCAGTGTCCTTTCTGATTCATCCCTGCCAATTCAACTTGCTTGCCTTATCAGTGTTGCTGGGACGGCTTCATTTGTTTGTTTACGTCTCTTGATTTTTGTGTATTTCAAAACTTTTGTCATGACTCACATATATGGTGAAAATCCTGCTGTCCTGTGAGAAGCGTGATGACAGCAGTGGGAGAGGTAAGAGGATCAGGTCACATATTTCTGGTGGTGGCTGGACTGGAGGGCCTGAGCCTACCCTTTGGTGCTCCAGGCCCACCTGGTGCTTATTATCAGCTCTTCAGTATCAGTGGGAATAACTCTGGGTACCTTGGCCAACTAGGACTTCCAGTACAGAAACATTAATGCTGGAAATTTACTAGGGTTAGGTTGGAAGGGAGAATAATGGGGACATGGCTTCTCCAACAGGCTGGTCCAGCCCACAGTGACTTAAGGAGATAAGAATTTGAGATTGCCCCACTTTGAACAGTAGCACTGAACAGAGGATGAGAACTGTCTTCCATGGTGTCATGTGAGAAGGGCTTTGTTAGGTGGTTCTTCTCCAGTGGGATTGTCCTCCGGTTACCAAATAGGAACTTAAAAGGTATTCAAATGTCTAAGGTTACCTTTTGAAGGAGAGGAAAGGGGGTCCACACTTCTTATAATTCTCTCCTTCATTCCCAGTTCTTTTGCAAACTCATACAACAAAATCCATCAATTTTCCTCAGCACCATTTTCCCCCCTAGCTTTGCAGGCTAAGCTCTAAATCTTTCTTTCTCTCTTAAAGGTGTCTTTCTTTCTTTCTTTTTAAGTTCTTTAGATTCACACCAGGTATTATTTAGAACTCACTGAGAGAGCATGAGTACCAACAAGCATGTAGTAGGTAGAGTCAGCTCCAAGGAATGGGGAGACAGGAGCCACTGAACCTTGTCTGCTCAACAGAAGGAGAAAGTGAACAGCTCTTAAAGTCCCTGAAACACCCCACTCATTTAAGAGTAAAATTCTCAAAAAGAATAATTTAAAAATGCATGTGGAACCTGAAACAGACATGTGTTTTAATCATTACTTTTGCTTTCCTCCGCCTGGATATGTTTATTTGTTCATTTCAAATAAAATGATTTCTTTTTCTTCTCTGGGTCCTGACATACGGCCTCAGTGAAAAATTGGCTGAAAAGATTCCATTACGTTCCACAGATGGAACGTGGGGGTCTCCCTGGGCAGTGAGCTCTCAGTCCTCGGAGGTGTCCAAGCACAGAGGAGCTCATATTCTGGCTGGGAAGTTACAGAAATTGTACCCGCACCTGCTAGGGAGCTGAAGGACATGACCAACTGGAGCTCTTACGGTTTATGAATATGTGTGAAATCTAGAAAGGAAGACTTCTAATGAGTCAGCAGAGATATAGGTGCAGACTTCAGCGACACAATTTTCATTCAGTTGATACAGCAGAGCACAGAGAAACCACAGGTTGGTGTTTTACATTTGAGTTAAGAAGTTATGAAATTTTTAAAAAAGATATTATAGAGAAAACAAATGAGAACAAACTCCCATCATTTTAACTCCTAGCTATTGTCTGTATTTGCATTGAAAGACGACGCCAGTGTTGAAAGCCGCAGGAAGGCCGGGAATCATTTCACTCTGCAGTGGTGAAGGTTTTCTGGCCGACTCCTTTACCACTCGTTATCCTTGGTGACCAAGAGCACACGTATATCGGGTGGCCACAAAACAAACATGGATCAAACCCACTTTTTGTACCTTTTTATTCTGAAGCTTTTACTAGCTAAGCAATGGGTCATGTACCATAAGGCTATACCGAGAAATTATTTAGCAGTTTGTAATTACCGGATTTTAGAGATGATTTCAAATATTAGAGAATAAGCCCCCAAAGAAACTGTAAATAAACGCACCACAGGACGATACATGCGTGAAGCAGATATAGGTACAGTTGTCAGTAGTCAACATCTTTTTTTTTTAATGATAATTTCAACTCAAGATGCTCACAATTTTTTTTAAATAGGCTTTATTTTTATTTATTTATTTATTTTTGCAGTTTTTGGCCGGGGCTGGGTTTGAACCCGCCACCTCTGGCATATGGGACTGGTGCCCTACCCTTTTGAGCCACAGGTGCTGCCCGTCAACAGCTTTTTGTTATAAACATTTTATCATAAATTCTTATCAAGCACAAAGCCAGCAGTGACATGAGAGGCCTTGAGAGGTGGCAGCTTCTGTTTGGAACCCACAGGCAACCT